AAGTCGCTCCCCATCCCTGGGAGAAGTGGGATGTGATGCCAGCATCCCGTACCGGATTGGCAGCTCCCTGCTAATGCGACTGGCAACGCAGCAGAAGACAGCCCAAGTCCTCGGGTCCCTGCCACCCACATGGGAGACCCGGTTGGAGTTCTTGGCTCCTGGCTTCGGCCTGGTCCCGCTCTGACTGTCACAGCCATTTGGGATGTGTGCCAGCAGATAGAAGGTCTCTCTCTCTCTCTTTCTCTTTCTTTCTCTCTAATTCTCTCTATGAATTACAGAGAAGACGGGGGTTGGTGGGGGGGAGAACCATCTTCCATTTGTTGGTTCACTCCCCAGATGGCTGCAATGGCCAGAGCTGAGCCGGGCAAAGCCAGGAGCCAGGAGCTTCATCCAGGCCTCCCCCTTGGGCGCATTATGGGTGATGGTTGTACCCTGTGCACCGCAACTCCAGCCCTGAAGCCTTACACCTAAGAGTTCTCGGGGCCGGTGCTGTGGCATAGTGAGTTGAGCAGCCATCTGTAGTGCCAGCATCCCATGGTCCTGGCTGCTCCACCTCTGATCCAGCTCCCTGCTAACGACCTGGGAAAGCAGCAGAGGATAGACCAAGTCCTTGGGCTCCTGACCTAAGGAGGAGACCTGGATGAAGCTCCTGGCTCCTGGCTTCGCCCTGGCCCAGCCCTGGCCGCTGTGGCCATCAGAGGAGTGAACCAGCAGAGGCAACATTCTCTCTCTCTCTCTCTCTCTGGTTTCCTGGCCTTCTACAGCCGCTCTGCAAAGATGGGTGCCCTCTTCACTTCACCGAACATGGCAGCCTCAAGGGGTGCAGTGCCAGCCGCGTGTCACACGGCCATGGCAAGCGGTGCATGGCCCCTTTGTTCCGGGCTTTCTTGACCGTTCTTACTGCGGGGGAGAGGCAAAGAAAGGTGGAGACAGGAACCCTCTTCTCACGCGCGGCAGAAGAAAGAAGGAAGGAAACGCTCAGAGAAGCACTGCAGGCTTCGGCGTTTCGACATGCAGCCAGCTGCAGCTACACGCCCTTTGTACAGGCCAATAAACTGAGGCAGAGGGAGAAGCTGCCGGCCCCTCCTGCTGCCTCAGCAAGGCCAGAGGCCCTGGGCTGGGCTGGCTCTGTGCTCATGCTATTACACCCCTGCCCTGCCCGAAGCGGAAGCCAGGGGACAGCGGTGAGCAGGCCTGGTCTCTGACGGCACCGTCTATGGAAGCTGCTCTCTGCCTTAGGCCTGGGAAATGTCCCTCTCTAAGCTTCCTCCATGCCAAACATTTAGTGACATTCCTTAAGTCCTCTGTGGCACTTGGAAAACACAGCTACTGGCTAACTATATTAAGAAACGCCATCCACAGCCCACCCCGGCCAGCCTCACGAGCCCCAGTGACGTCCAAACTCCAGGGTCATGGGGAAAGAGGCCCCTGGTGGCCTCTTGGGTCTTAAATTGCTTTTCCTGGCACAGTCCTGCCCTCTGGCCCCTGCCAGACAGACAATTGCAAAGTGACCTTGCTTTACGAGAACTCTAGATTAAAAAAGAAAGGAGGAAAAAAGCTGCCAGCAGACGGGCCACAGTGACCAGTGTTTGGCCAGCACCTCCTTGGGCCGACACAGGAGTCCATCTGCAGCAGACAGCCCCACACCCCATGGTCAGGTTCATGTCGATACTGGAAAGGAAGCATCCTTCTGTCTTCTTCAACCTCCAGGAGCACACCGGCCTCCTGGGGGCCCCACTGACAAGCAAGCTCCAACCCACTGGTCTGCCCCGGGGCCCGGGACTCTGCATTTATAACAGGTGCGGCTGCTGCTGCCGCCGGTCACTCTGAGCAGCCAGGCTCTAGAAACTGTAACAAGACACAAAGTCAGTGCTTCTCTGGCTGCACAGAGAACCACGGAGAGTCCTACCAGGACCAACTTGAAGCAGAAATGCCTGGAGGAGAGTCCGACCCCCAGAATAAACAAAACAGCACCTTGCACGCCCCAGAGAGAGGCTGTGCAATGAGATGTCTGGCAGGATTTGAAAACCCCTGCATGGAGATAAGGAAAAGGCCGAGGGAAAACAGGGCTCCCCAAGGTATGCGGGAGCACCAGGGGGGTAAAGGAATCGTCGTCTCTTTTGACCGGGCGTTGCTCACTCTGCACAGCCACGAACAGCATCGCTGTGGCGCCCGGGGTTACTGGCGTCATTGCGTGCAACCCCGCACACACAGGCGCTCTCCGCAACCTCCCCACACCTGGTTCTTCATGACGCCTGCAAGGGTACCTCCAAGAGCTCATAAAAAAAACAAAAACAAAAACGGGCTTACAGGAGAGGCTCACGGGGGTGCAAAAACCTCTGTGATCCACGCATCATTTCTTCCCAGCACCCGTTTTCATGGACTTTGTGAAAACCGCTCCGCCCACTGCACTGTACCACTGGGCCCCGGCCAGGCACTGCCTCCCCCTTTATTGGAGGCTGAGAGGCTGAGGAGCCCGCCAAGGTCGCCGTGACTGAATGGTGAGAGCGGAGGGAACGTGGGGCCAGCTGATGCCAGCGCCCGGGCCATAAATCAGGGCTCAGCAAACTGCAGCCGGGCCGAACCCCACCCTCCGCCAGTTGATGCAGGGCCCTGGAGCTAGGAACGGCTTTGCACATTCCTGAACGGTTAGGGGGGGAAATCAAGAGGAGGAGTAATTCACCAAGTGTGAGTTGTAGGAGTCTCACGGGCGGCTGCGGCGCCAGGAGTGTGGCTGGCACGGAGCCACGCCCGCTGGTCCAAGGCTCGGCTCCGAGCTGAGACCGTGTGGCCCGCGGAGCCTGGACTCGCCGCCCGGCCCCGGCCGGAAAACGGCTGCCGACTCCTGCGTTCGACTCCTGCGTTCAATGGTTTCGCTGTTTATAAACTCCCTGCTTTGCTTTTTTTTCATACCTTTCTGCCCTCCCCACCCCCACCCTCAGACTCTGCTAAACTCTGACTTGCAAAGCTGCTTTGGGGGCAGACAGCCCAGCAGGTTCAGCCGCCCCCTGGGGTGCCAACGTCCTGAGTGAGCACGGGTTCGGGTTCGAGTCCCGCCTGCTGCCTCTGAACAGCTGCACCTGCCCTTCCCTTTCCCGAAAAGATCTTCCCCCATTCCCATTCAACTCCTGCTCACCCATGGATACCCAGGGCCGCGTCCCCCCAGTCACCCCACAGCACAGCACAGGGCGCCCTTGTCACATCTTTATCATCGAGGAGAGAGAGAGAGAGAGAGAGAGAGAGAGAGAGAGAGGAGAGAATCTTCCATCTGCTGGTTCACTTCCCCAATGGCTGTGACGGTTGGGGTTGAGGTTGGGCCGGTCCCAAGCCAGGAGCTGGGAGCCGGGAGCTCCATTGGGGTCTCTCTCGTGGGTGAGGGGCCCAGGCACTTGGGCCACCCTCCAGTGCTTTCCCAGGCCATCAGCAGGGAACTGGACCTGAAGCAGAGTGGCTGGGACTCGAACAGGCGGCCACCTGGGACGCCGGCGCTTAAGGAGGTGGCTCAACCCGCTGAGCCGCGACGGGAGCCCCGTGCAGGGCATTTCCCCTGACCTCCTCGGCCTTCCTGTCTCCTGGTCATGCAGAAGGGCCGGCCCTTTCAAGGCACGGAGCTGACCCCTGACCCCGGCCCCCTCCCACCCTCGTGGGCCCCGCTAGCCCCCACCCCGCGTCATTTCCACACTCGCTCCATCCTCCCTCCGACTCCGGCACTTGTTAGAGAAGACAGGGCGTCTTTATCCCAGCGGGGCCGCCGTAATGGGGGTCTCGGGGAGCGGAGGGCTCCGAGCACCAGGGGATTCACAACCAAGAAGAGGACTGGGCCGTGGGGCACCCAGTGTTCCCCGAGGGACACATCAGGGCTCAGGGCATGCGGGCCGGCGGCCGCGACAGGATTCGAACTGCAGGCAGGCCAGGGCCGCCGGACAGCAGGGGCGGGGGCTTCCGGACTCAGCTGGATTCTTGCGCAACTGGACAGCGCCCGAGGCCTGGGCCGGGAGAGGCCTCGGGGCCTGGGCCCAGCTCGGGGAGGACGCAGCCTCGGCCACCTCCGGCTTCTTTAACTTCTCCCCGCCTGGGCCGCAGCTCCCCGGCTCAGGCGCATCCCAATCGCCCCCCACTTCCGGGGCCAGTTTCCAGGTCTCCTCCGCGCCTGGGCTCCCCGGGGGACGCCCACCTCGGCCCCCCGACACCCGCGGGAGGGCTCAGGGCCGGTGGGGCCGGGGAATCCAGGGCGGAAGCTGCAGAGCCACGGAGGACAGGCGCCTCCTCCGGCCGCTGGGCCTGGGTCCCCAGGGCGAGCTGACGGTCAACGGCCGGAGCCCGAGCTGGGCCCTGCGTGTCCGCGCCCCAGGCCGGCGCCCCTAGGGGTGAGGGGTGACCTCATCGCCGTGAGTCCCCCGCTGCGGGTCCACTGAATGGCCCGAGTAGGGCTGCAGAGGTGGCGCCACAGCGCGGGCTGAGAACGCCCACGCCACTCCTTCCGCCAGCCCCTAGAGAAAGCAGAAGCGCCCAGTAAGCGCCGCCCCAAAGACTAGGCTGCGCCCTGCACCCCCGACCCGCACGAGCCCCCCCATCACCAGGCGCTCCGGCGCGGCCCCTTTAAGAGGCGGTGGCCGCGGTGCTGCCCCCTGGCGGCCGCCGGGCGCGCTGCCTCCGCTGTCCGGCGGGCTCCCGGGGCCGGGCCGGCCAGGGCTCCGGCGGAGGGGATGGTGTCTGATCCGGAATTCTGGGTGTGCGTGCTATGCCGCCGCCCTTCTCGGCGAGCGGCGCGTGAGGCTCGCGCCGGGGCCGCGGGCCGAGCTCGCCCGGAGCGGCCGAGCGCGGGGCGCGGAGGGTGGGGCGGGCGGGGCGCGCTGCTCGGGCCCGCGCGGCGCGAGGGGCCAGTGTCCGCCGCGGCCCAGGGCGCGGCGCTCGCGAGCCCGCGGCGGGCGGCCCCGCGCGGCGCAGCCAGTGGCGTCCGGCGCCCAGCACCGCCCCCCGGGCCGGCCGCCCGCCGCGCCCCGCCCCGGCCCGCCCCCGCCGGCAGGACTGCGCGCCCGGAGCGCGTTCCGCGTCCCCGCCGCCGGGAGGAGGTGCCCGCACGCTCCGGCGCGCGCCGCCCGCCCGCCTCGGCCTGTGGGCGCTTTCCCCGGCCCAGGCTCCGCGCCCCAGGAAGATGCAGACGTTTCTGAAGGGGAAGAGAGTGGGCTACTGGCTGAGCGAGAAGAAGATCAAGAAGCTCAACTTCCAGGCCTTCGCGGAGCTGTGCAGGTGAGGGGGACCCCCGGCCCGAGCGCCGGCCGGGGAGGCTGGGGCGAAGGGGTGCGTGCCGGGGGACGGGATCCGGGCGCCCAGGGGCCGGTGCGGGCGCTGTGGCGCGGACCGGGACGCTCAGGTGCACGGAGAGCCGGCTCGGGAGGCCCCCGGGTGCCCAGGGCGCAGCGGGCGCGCGGCTGAGCGCGGGGAGGGCCCTGGGCACCCGGGGCGCCCGCGCTGCCTGGCAGGGGGCTGGCTGGTACTTTGGGCCGGAGTGGTCGTCTTCCTCCGCCCCCTTCCCTTTCTCAGGGGAGGGCACCTGCGGGTGTGGACCACCTACTACGTGCCCCGCGTGTGCGCGGCTCCCGGAGCTGTCAGCGCCGTGGCCGGCTTGAGCCCAGCCGAAGCGAGTGGCAGTACTTGGCACGTCCGTGGTGATTTGCTGTCTCATTAGCGCCTCGCAGCAACCGTGCACATTGGCCGGGGTGGGGATCCTGGGCCACGTGTCGGGGCAGGGGGACTGATCCGCAGAGGTGCTTCTGCAGGGGTCCCCGTGCCGGGGAGTGGCTGGTGCGCCAGAGGTGCCGGGGGACATGCGTGCGGTGTGGCTCGGCCTCCTGCCGTCCGGCTCTGCCCGCGCCTGGGCCCCCGCGCTGCTGCTCCGTGGCGGCGGAGGGTCAGGTGTGCCATAGATCGCATTCTTAGTCCCTCAGCCCTCCCCAGACCTGGGTCAGGTGTGCCGTGCCCAGCTGCCCAGCCGTGGCTCTGCTGTGGCATGTCAGTGAACGCCGCGCAGCAGCCGGCGTCCCGAGCCTTTTCCGAGCTCCGGGCGGAAGCGTTTTGTTAGATTGGATTTTTGAAAATTGGCCCCAGTTGGCATTCGTGTGTCCCTGTCGTGTCCCCTGGCACGCTGGAGAAGTGAACACTTGGCTTTCTTTCTGCCGTGGTATGCGGCGAGTGGCGGGTCTGAGTGGCGCCCACAGGCCCCTCTGTGCCCCTCACGGCCCTCCTTGGGGTCCCCAGGTGCTCTGTGTGCCTGGGTCAGGGTGGGGGTGGTCGCCTTCTTCCAGGCCAGGTCGTCATGGGCTGTAGTGCGTGGGAGCTCACAAGGAGACCAGGAGGGGCTGTGGCCGGAGCTTTGCACACAGGTCCTGGGTTGAAGGGGGACCCCAGACACCGTGCGTGTCGCTGCAGAAGTTTGGGTTGTGGGGGTCCAGCTCTGACCGGAGGCCCCTGGGAGTCTGGAACCCAGTGAGAACCTTGCACCCTCCCCACGCAAGTCTGCCTGTGCCTGTGTCACCCGTGCCCGGGGCTGAAGTTCCGGGCTTGTCATCAGGTTGGTAGGAACTTGGTAGCTGGGAGTCCCGGCCGGGGCTCAGGGCCAGGTCCTCCCGCTGGACCGCCGGACCCGCTTGGCTCTCCTGAGGACCCCTGCCTTTCAGGGGGTGGAGGGCTTCAGGGCAGGCGATGGCGTCGCAGTCCCAGCGGCCGACGGTCGGAGCACAGTGTCTCTGAAGGGGCTGCTGTGCCCAGGGTCTGGTCGCCTGCCTTTGTCCAGCATGGGGGCTCCTGAGAGGAGGCCGAGAGCATGCGGGCCCCGGCAGGGCCCCGGGAAGCCCACCCTGTGTTTCCACGAGGGGAGCTCTAGATGTTTTGTCACTGAAGCTGAAGAAGGAAAAGAAAACACCAAACAGAGTTTTTCTGTTTCTTGATTGCTTTCAGCGCACTGCCCCCTGGCGGCCACAGTTCCACGCTGGCTGCCGGTGACCCGAGCTTTTGCTGTGGCTGTTTGGCGTGAGCCACGCTGTGGACAGGTGCTGTCACGTTTCTGATGCTCACAATGCGGGCGTGCCACGCTCCCGTGTTGCAGGGCGAGGAAGCGTGTCCGAGCTCCCCAGTGAAACAGCCCGGGACGTTTGAGAACTCGCGGCCCCGCTCTGCGTGTGTGGGTGACCTGGGAGGACCAGGATGAGCTGTTTAGTGGAGTCTCAGGCTTTGCAAGTCTCAGGGCAGGAGCATGCTGGCGAGCGTCTCACCCGGCCTCCGCTGTTTTACGGATGGGGAAGCGGGCAGCAGGGGGCAGGTTCTAGGCTTTCTCCTTGGGCCACTGCACGGTGACACGCGGCGTTTTCTTCCCAGGGGTGGTCGGCCTCTGCTCTTTGTCCCTAGGGGCACTTTCCCTTCAAGGCTGTCCCTCTCCTCCCGGGGCATTGTGTCGATGGCAGCAGTGGGCAGCCAGGCCCTGGGAAGCTCCCTCCAGGGAGCTGCCCTGTCACTTGTGACCCAGCTGACAGGTGGGCCTTGGAACCGGCTGGTGGTCAGGGTCTTCCAGCACCCCCCCCCCACTCTGCAGGGCTGCCCTGGGACCAGCTGGTGGTCAGGGGTCCCGGCTGGTGCTGGCCCTCCAGCGTGTCCCCCCACTCTGCAGGGCTGCCCTAGGACTGGCTGGTGGTCGGGGGTCCCGGCTGGTGCTGGCCCTCCAGCGTGTCCCCCCCCACTCTGCAGGGCTGCCCTGGGACTGGCTGGTGGTCGGGGGTCCCGGCTGGTGCTGGCCCTCCAGCGTGTCCCCCCTACTCTGCAGGGCTGCCCTGGAACCCGCTGGTGGTCAGGGTCTTCCAGCTGCCCCCCCACTCTGCAGGGCTGCCCTGGGACCAGCTCGTGGTCGGGGGTCCCAGCTGGTGCTGGCCCTCCAGCGTGTCCCCCCTACTCTGCAGGGTGCTCTGGGACCAGCTGGTGGTCGGGGGTCCCGGCTGGTGCTGGCCCTCCAGCGTGCCCCCCCCCCCCACTCTGCAGGGCTGCTCTGGGACTGGCTGGTGGTCGGGGGTCCCGGCTGGTGCTGGCCCTCCAGTGTGTCCCCCCTACTCTGCAGGGTGCCCTGGGACTAGCTGGTGGTCGGGGGTCCCGGCTGGTGCTGGCCCTCCAGTGTGTCCCCCCTACTCTGCAGGGTGCCCTGGGACTAGCTGGTGGTCGGGGGTCCCGGCTGGTGCTGGCCCTCCAGCGTGCCCCACCCCGGCACCGTCTCCGCCCCTTCCACCTGCCCTCTGCCCCTCACCCCTTCCCTTCATGGCTTTATCACGGTGCCCAGGAGGAGCGACAGAGGGGAATGAAGAAACAAAGCTGTTCACTGGCCGCAGTGGGTGATTTTCTTGCTATTTTGTGTTGTAAGCTCTCCCCCTGGGCCCCGCTGAGCCAAGCCGGCCCACCCGGCTTCCCTCTGTTCTCCGCTCCTCCGACTCCCTCTGTCCTCACCAGTCTTGCCTGGGGTTGCCGGAGCCGGTGATGGAGGCACTGGGCTTCGTGAGGCCTCTGGTGTAAGGTATGGCAGAGCATCGCCTGCGTTCACCGGAATCACAGCTGATTTTCAGCGATTTCCAAGGCCCCTGCCTCAGGTAACCTCCCCTGCAGCCCGGGACTGCGGCCTGGGGAAGCAGAAGCCCAGGGCATGTCGGGGTTGTGCTCTGCCGGCTGGGGGCTCCCCTGAGCCCAGGCTCCGGGCCCGGCCCCTGCCCCTGCGAGCGTGGCCTCCCGGTTTGAGCGTCTGTCTGCTCAGGTGTGCCTGTGCGTGCTCAAGGCGCTGTCAGCGCATCCTTTCCCCTCCAGGGACCCATCTGGGCAGTTCCAGGCCCCTTCTAGGGTCCACGTGTGGCGTTAGGAGCGTGGTGGCAGCCCGGGGAGGGTGGAGGTGTGTCGGCCTGCCTGTTTCCCCGGGAGGGCCAACTCGGAGGCCCCCTGTGCCGGGTCCGCTTGGCGTTTCTGTGCTGGGATTCTCGGGACGAGTGCGGGGGAGGAACGAGGCGCTTTGCCAGGACTGAGTGATGTGGGTGTGCGTGGGTGTTTTTGTGTTTGTGTTGCTATCTGCCTTTGCCACCATTCTGGGCTACGGAGGGGGAGGAGGCACTGACTTAGGTCTCCCGTGTGACAGTGCACGGTGGGGCAGCCACAACCCAGCCCCGCTACTCGGCTCCCTTCCAGCAAACCCGAGAAGAGCCCCGTGCAGACAGGCTTATCTGTTGGGAGGCCGACACAGGCCTGGGGTGCAGGCCTGGCCGCGTGGGGCCCGCACCTGACGCTGGCAGTGGCAGGACGTAGCAGGCTGCTGTGGACATCCCTGAGCGCCCATCTCCGGGCACGTGGGCTCCGTCAGTGCCACCATGGCTCAGCGTGGTGAGAGGGTCGCTGTCCGCCCTCAGCGATTTCGTGTTCTTGGATTCGGCTGTTTGAGGATGACCCCACAGTCCCTGACGCTGCTCACGGATTGTTGGGATTTGAAACTCAGGTCAGTGGGCATGGCTAAGGAGGGGCCTTGTCCTGCCTGGTGGTATTCCAGCCGTCATAGTGTGGCTCCATGTTTTTTTTTTTTTTTTTAAGATTTTAGTTATTTATATGAGAGGTTGAGTTATAGACAGAGAGAAAGGTCTTCCATCCCCTGGTTCACTCCCCAAATGGCAGCAACCCCCGGAGCTGGGTCAATCTGAAGCCAGGAGCCAGGAGCTTCTTTCGGGTCTCCCACGTGGGTGCAGGAGCCTGAGGACTTGGGCCATCTTCTGCTGCTTTCCCAGGCACATTAGCAGGGAACTGGATCAGAAGAGGAGCAGCTGGGGCACAGACCGGTGCCCCTGTGGGATGCCGGCGCTGCAGGCAGAGGCTTAGCCCGCCGTGTGGCCCAGGTGACACCCGTGAAGCCAGGGAGGGTGTCTGCACCTGCTTCCTGGGTGGGGCAGGCGGGAGGCCCGCGAGGGGAGGGAGGGAGGGGATGCGTCCATGCCTGGTAAGTTTGGAGAGGGAGGTGCTGGTGCTGAGTCTCCTGGAATGCTGGGGTTCTCCATTCACACGCTCGGTGCTGGGGTTGGCTACCATTGGTTGTTTTCGGTTTCATTCTGAGTATTTCATGTGTGCATACATTTAACAGAACTTCAGAGGATGCAAGGCTCACACAGAAAAGTCAGCCCGTTTCCGTCCCGTCCTGAATCCCAGTCTCCTCCGAAGGTGCCCGCAAGCCCAGGGCCCAGGCGTGT